AGCGTTTCGATAGAGAACGGAGTAATCAATGGATTCACACAAGTATTCAACGGCACAGAAGTGGACACATATTTGGGTATTCCATACGCGGAGCCACCGGTCGGTGACCTCCGCTTCCGAAGACCAGTGCCGGCGAAGAAGTGGACCCAACCTCTGGACACAACCAAATGGCCGAATGCATGCTATCAACCTGATAGTTTATTATTACAAACGTTTCAAAATCCAAATCGTAGCGAAGATTGTCTTTATCTCAATGTATTTTCACCCAAACCTAATAAGTCGGACACTGGACTGAAGCCAGTGATGGTATGGATCCACGGCGGGGGCTTTGTTTTGGGCGCCTCCACTGAAAAAATCACAAATCCCATGGTTTTAGTGACGAGAGGCGATGTTATTGTTGTTTCCATTAATTACAGGTAAGTTTATCTTATATTTTAATTTGTTGTTTTCAATAAGTTATACAACATTTTCATTACTTGTATAGATTGGCGTCTTTGGGAATGTTATACTCGGGAACAGATGACGCGCCCGGGAATACACTTTTCTGGGACCAGACATTAGCCCTTCAATGGGTTAAGAAAAATATCGGTCACTTTGGCGGAGATCCCAATAGAGTGACTATATTTGGTTTGAGCGCTGGCAGTATGTTAGTGAGTGGTCTTATATTATCGCCAATGAGTCGAGATTTGTTTCAAAACGCTATAATGATGTCCGGATCAGCACTAATGAATGGATCCTTCGATTCACCAGAAAATTCAGTCAAATATTGGTTAAAACAATCGCAACAAATCGGGTGTTCAGAAGAAAGTGACCACAAGTTTACACCAAAAATAATGGACTGTTTGCGAAAAGTTCCGATTGAGAAGTTGGCTTTAATACCTGTCGGTCCAATAGACCCGTCCGGGAATAATGTAGATATCGTTCCCCTCTTTGTCGTCGACGGAAAGATGTTTCCCAAAACTCCGATTGAAATGTCAAAAACAGGAGATTATAAGAAGGGTTTGAATTTAATGATAGGCAACACTCAAGACGAGGGATCCTTACTATTGTCAATGTATATCGATAACATTACTTATAATATGTTTAATCCCAAAAACTTCACATATAATGAAGCATTTGATACATTGAAGACAATGTCTTCGGGTCTCAAACTTAGTAAACCGCTTAACGGCGATGACGTCTCCCGAATGTATTTTACGGGTCTCTCAACTCATACCCACAAAGACTTATTGATCCAAACAATTGGTATCGCTTTTGGAGATTATGCCATCACTTGTCCATCCATTCAGTTCGCGAAGAATGCCTTTTCAAGTGATAAAACCGGAACTAAAGTTTATCAATACTATTTCAACAGTAAATTAGGAATACCTAGATATTTATGTTTTAGTAAATGGATGGGTGTCTGTCATACAAGTGATATGATTCCAGCCTTTGGTGTGCCATTCCTTCAGCCAAAGGATTATTTGGATCGCGAGAGAGATATATCCTCACAAATGATGAATTCGTTCTTGAATTTAGCCAAAACTGGGTTTGTATTCAATAAACACTTAATTAAAACTATAAAAATAACATTTAAATCTATTTGATAGTAATCCTGGTGTTATAGACGGCGCCCAATGGCCGCAATACTATTCAATGGGAGCCAATATAATAGCGCCGTATTATGAGTACACAAATGAACCGAAATCTGTCACTAATTTCAACATTGGATTAAAGATCGATGAATGCGATTATCTGTGGAATCAATACAACCATTGATTTTAATACAGTATTTAATATTATTGCATGTTTTGTAATATTTTTCATATTATAATAAACTTATCATATTTTAATTTAATAAATAATTAAATGAAGAATATTAAACTTTACCTTTTTTAATATTATATAAATGCTTTATTATATAAATGGCTTAAATAATTTAAATTATTAAATTTAATAATTTATAAAATTATAAATCTTTACTATAATACCAATATAGTTATATTGAGTTTACATTAAATTATCAAGTCACAAATTATTATTAACTGGATTAAAGTCACCAAAAATATGCCTCTTCTATGCTTTTATGGTACAACTTTACTATTTTTATACAATAATAACTAACATATAGCAACTTTTTATCAGTTTAAACTTTAAAGCATTAGTTAAGTATTAGATACTGTGATTTTGTGAACAATTTATAATTAATCGGCAGTGTTTGCACATTAAGTGACTCATCCATTTGTGACTCTAATCATGATCCAAAATAATATTAACAAAGTTACGGTTATTTTGTGATTTTATTAAGACTTTAAACTTATAAATCCCATCACATTATAATTTTTTATTGTATTTTGGCGATAGTTTTATTATTAATTGTTAATGAATAAATTATTCAGAATTATTATTCAGAATTATTCAGAATAATTGATATTATAATTGTTAAGTTTATTATAATTTATTTATCATCTTGAATATACAGTTAAGTTTCAACACACGTATTGAGATTATATACTGTAGTAATCTAATATTAGTATTGGACTAAAAAAATTTTACTTATTGTAATTCACATGATTGTAAAGTTTGTGTTTGAAATGTTGGAAAATTTTCACATAGATATTGTATTTGGATATTTCACTATTTGTGATCACCGGGTCATTGAGTAATTATTTCAATGCTTGAACACCAGTAAAACTCAACATTTAATTTCCTGTCGATATTTACATTGAAATCCATTATTGAATGCAAAATGTGGGCCAAAACCAGTCTTTCTCTTCAGTTATTGAAAGAATCGCAAAATAAAAGCGGAGACCAATCGAGTGATGACCAAAACGGCCACAACTCGAGCACTGACTCGGCCTACGAGTCGGTCATTGAATCGCCGCCAGCGGTGACCGTCCGGCCGGTCGTCACCGCACGGGTCGACGATTATCACCGAAAGCCGAGAGTATATCCGAGAGTAGAGATTATGGGCGCTAATGGACGGGTGTTTAAGTTCAATCGGTGTATGGATGAAGTGCCCTGGATCAGTCGCAGTGTCTCATATAATATCAACTCATTTGATGGCAATCGAAGTCGCGCACAATCGGATCCCAAGATGGAAGCGCCGAAGACTGAAGAGCTCAAGAGAAAAGTGTCAAAGAGTGAAGAGATTAAGACTGAAGAACGCGAGAAAGTAGTGCCCGAAAAAGTAGAGCCCAAGAAAGTAGAGCTCAAGAAAGTAGAGCTCAAGAGAGTAGAGCTCAAGAGAGTAGAGCCCAAGACAGTAGAGCCCATGGCTGTGGAGCTGATGGCTATAGAGATGATGATTAAAGAGCTGTCAATTAATGAACCGAAGATTATTGAGCCGATGGCCAAACAGGCAAAGAGTAAAAAGCGCCCGATTAAAAAGCTGAAGACTAATGAGACAACAGCTGAAGAGCTGAAGATTGAGGAACCGATTGATTACAACAATTTGCCAAAACTTATGGTGAGAGTTGCGAACTCTTCCAATGATAATACGGATCCAATGACACCCATTTGTCGACGCGTATGGTGTGAGTCGACACCTGTTTCAACTATTCCTCCTAAGCTAGAGATGGAATCCGTACCTATTGTTACCATTCCTCCGGAGATACCGATTCGCTCCACACCTGTGACTCCCATACAAATGAAACCTGGCCGAATATCTACCCGTATTTCCATTAAAAGAGTGGTCATAAACACTGGAACCGATGATTATGATTAAGAAGAAGCTGTTATAAACTATGCATTTGTTTTTGTTTTTATTATATTTTTAATTCATTTGACAAATTGTTGTTTAATAATGATATTTATTGTAATTTTTAATTCAAACATCATTATTAACATAACATATTTGACTACATATTTAAATTGTATTTCTGTTTCTATTTAAATGTATAACAAATACTACTCTTTAATTAATTAATAAATTGTTAAAACATTTATATTTCACAAATAAATTAGTTTTAATAATGAGTAATAAAATTAATAATAAAATATGCGCTCAAAAAAATATTTTATTTGTCGTCAAATTTGCTTAAAATTAAATTACAAATTAAATTTGTAAACATTTATTTAAAAAATAAAAACAATATATAATTATTAAATATCTATAATATATCTTACGTTAAAATTAATTTAAAAATAATTTGCATTTTCATAAAAATAAGTTATATTAAAAAAAACTCTTTTCTCTTGTCTTTTATGCGATTCATTAGAGGAAACAAATAATATTAAGGACTCCTTTTAGTGGACACTCGTTATAATCAACTAATATATGAGTTCATGCATTAAAAGCTGCAAAATATGGTAATTAATAGTTAGTCATGTATTGTTGCAAATGTCTTGTAATTTGTAACTAAAATTAAATTTAATAATTATTAATATAATAATCGTATAAATGATTACTCGATGAGGTTGTGCTCAATGGGACCCTTCGTGTAGGGTTTGCCTCCATTGCGGGCCCACTCGGCCTCGAACTCGTGGCCCAATATCTCGGCGCCCCGTTTGGTGGCCAGACGTGTCTCGTCCAGACTGAGCTCGCACATTTGCATATCATCACGACCTATACATAATCAGGGTAAGTTTATTATAAAAGCTATTTAACATAATGTATAATAATAGTCATACCGGCGACCAATAGTATGGGTTTCTTTTCGGGATGTATTTCCATCTGCCGTGCGATCCATTGGCCGTCAAAGTGTGCGAACCACCAGCCCTTATGGCCCGATGTGTTGGGCTTATTGAACGGCATACGAAAGTAGCGCTCCTTACCGGCGCTCGTGTCCGCACCCTTTATATTGTAATTGAAATTCTGGTCCAGAATACTGTCGGGCGCTCTCTGTTGGTCACCTCCGCCGCCGCCGCCGTTCACCACTTTATTCCTGTTGGCCCTCGACTTCCACGAGTGGTACACTTTGAGCCGCCGATGAAACTCTTCACGACACGCCTCCAGGAGCTCGATATCGCACGACGTGTTGATCGTGTCTCTCAGGTCCGAGTATTTCCACTTCTCTAAGTTGTACTTCTGGTTCGCCGGCGACTGTCTTTGCTCTAACACCTGAGCCATCCATTGGAGAGACAAACAAATCACACAATTAGCACAAAATATCACATGATTTTGAATATATGCTGAGACTTACGGCCGCAGATCTGGGAAGCATTGTTGGCGACGACTGCCAGTCGTCGCTGACTGTGGACTCGGAGTCCTGTGCGAGTCTGGCGGCCAACTCGTAGTCGCGTCTCTCCTGCTCTATGCGCTTCATCTCCGCCTCCAAAAGGCTCTGTTCTTTGTGTTTGCGCTCTTCGGCGGCTCTCATCTCTCGGCTCTCCCTCTCGACTCGGGCCGCGGTTTCCAAGCGGTTCCGCTCCTCCATCTCCGCCTTCTTCCTCTTGTTGTCCTCCATCTCGCGGGCCTTCCTGTCCTCCTCTTCCCTGAGCTTCCGCTCCGCTTCCATCTGTTGCTGAATCTTCATAAGCCTCTCCTGTTCGGCCAGTTTGCCCCTCAGGAGTGACACATTGTTATTGATGGACGCGTTTAGCCGATTGATGTCCTGATCGATGTCCTTAGCGTTCATTTTGTTGTCACTGTTTTTCAATTTATTGATCATTTGATTCATGTCTGCGTCCACTTGTTTGATGGTCTGATCGCACATCTGTTTGTCTGAATTGGACTTCAGTTGTTTCGACAGCTCTTGTAATTGTATTAAATGTTTTCGCAGTTGTTTTACTTGTAGTAATCCCTTATATCTGTGACATTAAAATATTTATTCATACATTACTTATAAAATCAATAATTTTAAAAATAATAAAAATCTAATGTCTGGACCCATACCTCGGCTTATATTTGTTGATAGCGTTTAACATACGGATATTCTTCTGGATTATAATAATCTGCTCTTTTCTCCATTTAATCTTATTTTTCACTACATTTCATGAAAACATAAATACAATTTCATTAATTACTAAATCGATATTTGGGTTAAAATATACAGTGTTTTAGTTATTATAGCGATCGAAATGTATGTGTAATTGACAAACAATTTTTCACACAAGAATAATAACAAAAATATGCATTATTTTCAATACATGTATACTATTCTGGCGTTTGAATGAATCAAACGCACAGATGTTTTGCTAATAAATGGCAAAAACATTTCCACGATTTAATACACAAATTGAAAACAAGTCAAACATTAAACAATTTTTGTTAAAAATATATCAAAACTAAACATACATTTGATGACAGATAGTGAACACCACTGAGCCTTCTTCCAACGGGAGGCGAGCAGCCATTTCTGGACCTTTTTGACTAAGGTGGCCAGATTATCAGGGTCACTCTTCATGATTTGGTCGAATTCGGCGAACTTTCCCGGCCTGAAGAAGATCTTTGTCGACCCGAACCGGAAGTCATTCTCATTCAAACCCAACGCCTTAAACAGCGCCCGACAGAAGAGCCTGGAGTCCAATCGGGCCAACTCTGGCGGCAAGAACTTGGCGTACATCGAGTAGAGGTCGGCGAACGCCGCGCGCGACGGATACCCCATTTGCATCAACTCGAGCACTGAGGTCATGCCTGAGCAGCGCAATTGGGACAGTATGTGCGCGCCCTCGAACTGATGGGCCACCATGTTCAAATTAGGTTTAATGCACCGGATAAAGTGGGTGCCCGTCGACCGCAACTTCGACATCAACTCCGACAGCTGTGACCGGAATTTGCCGCCGACCGACTCGAACGTCAATTTGCCGCCCGTTTTGGCCTTATTCTGGAAGTTGTTGTTAATGATTATGTTGTTGTTATTGTTGCCATTCTTCAGCGCCTTGGCGTCGGCGGGCGACGTAAACAGGGATTTGAGCAATTGGTTACTCGAGTCCAACATGAGTGCCTCGAGCGAGGCGTGGAGGGCGTCGTTGTTCTTGTCGATGAAGGCGCTGGTCGTGTAACAGACGGCGCCGGCGAAGTGCCGGATGAGAAAGCCCTCGTCGTCGCGTATCTCGCGATGGTTACGGAGTTTGGACTTTCTCGGGACCGCCAGCCGGAAGTGGTTGCCGTGAGACGAGTGCACTGTTTCGGTGAAGTGGACGGACGACGGCTTCGGCAGTTTGCTCTCCTCGTCCAGGAGGTCGAAAATGCCCGACGCCTTGCCCTCCAACAGATCGATACAGTCCTGGTTGTCGATGAAGTCAATCTTCTTGAGTCCCAGTCCTTCCCTCTCATAGATAGTCTGTTCCTCTTTAAGGATGCGTTCGTTGAAGAATTGTTGCAACTTTTCGTTGCAGTAATTGATGCAAAACTGTTCAAATGAGTTGCACTCGAAGTACTCGAAGCCGGCGATGTCTAAGACGCCGATATAGTTGGCCGAAGTGGAGAACGGAATCGCTTTGTTGATGGTCTTCACGATGTGGTCGAAGAGCTTCGAGTACATGGCTTTGGCCAACGCGTCCCTCGCGTTCTGGGCCTCGTATACCTTCAACGGCACCATATATATCGTGCCCTATCATTGAACAATATAATTAGTATAAGCAATCATGGTACTTTTAGTTTGTGTGGCTAATTATATGTTTGATTGATTTACTGTTTGTTTTAATGTTTGTGTAATTTATATATAAATAGATTGATTTTTAATTGATTTTAATAAATCCTTATAATGAGAGTTCAAAGCCTTTTAGAAAACTACAACAACTGGTAATTTTGGTAATTAATTACATGCAATTCAATTGATTTATCCGCTTATTTATAGAGTAAACATTTAAATTGTTATCTGATTTATGCAATTAATTGATAAAATTCAGAACTCGTTATACGACAACTAATTATAAATCGATTACAACTCATAGAAATACTTATAGATAATCTCAAAGAGTGGTTAAAATTGTGAGCCCGAAGTAATATCTGGATTTTGATACTGAATGTGATGTGTACTGAAATGGATGTAATGATGAGTGAATTGATTACTTTATGTCCTCCTTTGCTGAGTTGCATCACACGAGACAATAAGCTTTGTTGCAGTGAATCGCTGTCCACACCAATCAGTTCGGCCGCCGTCTCCAGCGATGGCATCGACTGAGCCGTCACTTGAGAACCGCCTTCTCGTCACACAATGTATATATAAATTGGTCCCAAAAATAAGTGAATGAAAAATAAATGTTTAATTTTTTGTTCATTAAAAATATATATCAAGAATTGTATATCAAATAGTTTTCCTCTAATTATACACTTTATGTCTGTTTATGTCTCTCACTCTAAACAAATAGATACTCATTATAATGATTATTAGTGTTATTTTATAGTAATTGATACAAATATATGAATATTTAGTGTATTATTAGCGCAACAGAAAACTGTTGGTAATGTTAGTACTGTATTATTACGAGAATCTAATGAATCTAATGTTAAAATTATAATATGTTAAATATTCCGTTAAATAAAACTAAAAAATAATGTAAAATTCAGACCACTTTTCGATGCATTAGAATCTATAGAGAGAATAGAGAGAAAAAAGTAAAAACAATTCATGCAATTAATCTAAATTATCATTGAATACGAAAATGTTTGTTAAAAATATTAGTTGATATTAGTTATGGAAAATAACACAACAATGTAATGATAATTAGGAAAGTTTTGGTTTTATTTATTGCTATTTTGTTAATGAAATGAATCACCACTTGTTATGGCAAACGTAGTGCTCATTAAAAAAGCATAATTTGGATAAGAGTTTTGCGAGAGTTTTAGTTTTTAGTTTCAATTTTTAGTTGTTTTTGTTGAGAGAAAATTATTTCAAAGTAAGAAATAGCAACAAAAATAGCGACGGGTTTTTTCTTTACAGACATAATCTGTTAATAAGTTTTATTTTGCTGTTAATTTGCAAAAATCACGAAAATTAGTGTTAGTTTTGAAGCAAAATTAATCGAGAGTTAAGTTTTGTTAGTGAAAATTTTTAACACGTTATAAGTTTTAACAGTTAATCAATCATTTGTGATAATCAATTACAGCAGGATTTCAGAGGTTTTTGGAGACATTTGACACAATAGACACATTTTTTGCTGATTTAATCCTTAAAAAGTCATAATTAATAGACTTTTTCCTTTGGGATGAGGAGAGGAAAGACGTAAAACACAACAAAAACATTTTATTTATCATCAAAATATGTAAAATATTTGCCATACCTTTCGAGTCTTCGGCGCTGTCCTCGAAGCAAATATTACCAAGATGCAAAACTGCGGCCACAATACGATAAATGGCCAGTCGGTCGGCTTCGCTGACCCCGAAGTGGGCCAACGCGTCGTCGGTTGCCTTAAAGTCTTTGATATCGTCGACGATCGGGTCGTTGAGCGCACCGTCGCTCATATGATCGCTGGATTTGCGGTTAGCGTTGAGTTGACTGTCCGACTGTTTTGAACTGAAATACTGAGTGCAGCCTCTGTTCAGGTAGTGAAAGGTGTCCGGAGACGACAGTTTCAGTTTGGCGTACGTCTGGGCCGGCAGTCCGGCGCACATCTGGTAGAATATATGGTAATTCCTTTCCGATGAGCTCTGACCGCATATCCGGGACTTTTCCAACAGATAGTGCGATATATATCCGCCGACAACTGTATGCTGTGTTCAATAATCAATGATTTAATTAATTAAAGTGTTGTGTAATTTGTATTACTCTTTTAGATTTATGCAAAATTATATTTATTATGTTTTGTTTTATGTGACACATTGTGTCTATGAATTAACATAATTTCCCAGTTTTCAAGTGCAACAAAACAATTCAGCATTTGTTGCATTTAAATGCGGTTTTAATTGCTTTACAGCCAGACTTGAAAACTACTGATTTTTCTGAAATGCATTCTTGAATTTAGACTATTGTTGTAAACATTTTTGTTGTATTTTTCTTATCTATTTGTGAACCTATTTCTTATTTACTGAATGTTTTTTTATGCAGAAATAACTTAAGTAAATACGAGTTCGGGGGAGAAAATTATGTGAATTTTCCCATCAGTTTAATTGAGTTTTAAA